CCACACTACATTTATGCATTCTGATCTATAACATATTTTTAAAGGCATTATATTCAATTATGTGAATGTCTCAAAACTTAACTGAGCTCTCCCTTTTGAACACTAAACTGTTCAAGTTTCTGTGTATTATAAAAAACATTCCGGGCTGGGGATGTGGCTCAAGGGGTAGCGCGCTCGCCTAGCGTGCGTGCGGCCCGGGTTCGATCCTCAGCACCACATACAAACGAAGATGTTGTGTCCGCCGAGAACTAAGAAAAAATAAATATTAAAATTCTCTCTCTCTCTCTGTCCCCCTCCTCTCTCTCTCACTCTCTCTTTAAAAAAAAAAAAGAGATTAATTCTTTAAAACAAACAAAAAAAAAACATTCCAACAAATATATCTAAAACTTAAGCTGTGTACAGTGGTGCCCACCTGTAGTCCCAAAAGCTTGAGAGGCTGAGGTAGGAGGACTACTCTGACACTAGTGTGGACAACCTAATGACATTTTCATCTCAAAAATAATTGTATTTATATATGTAAACGTACACACACACATACATATACCTAAAATTGGAGGTGCACCTCTGATTATTCCTTAGGGAAAGCTGCAGAAGCAGACTGAACAAAGGGATCTGAATATTTTTACAGCCTTCCCTGCGCTCTTCAAAACGGTAACACTAGTTTTTTAATGAATTTAAAATAACTTTACAAATCACCCAGTCCTATTATTTAGTGCAACTAGATGGGATTTGCATAAGAGGTGATTAAATTAAATTTCTTATAAAACAAATAGAATTGTCAGGTAACTGACAATTAAGTGACAATTAATAATAGACTTTACATTCTGAAAGTTTTGTTCTCATTAGTTATATTTTGGAATTCTGGTATTACTGTTTAAATTATACTTTAAAGTTTATATTCTGATTATAAATCACTGCTATTTATAATCCTGATGCAAGTTAACTTTCACTCTAAGATACAGTCCCTAATAGTACCAACATGGAAYCATTTGTGCAAATGAATGACACTCATGGACAGAAATACTTTTTKGGGGGGGAAGCAGAGGTTAGAATCAAGGGTTGCTTAACCACTGAGCCACATCCAGGCTTTTTTTTATTTTTTAATTTGAGACAGGGTCTTGCTAAGTTGCTGAGGCTGGCTTTGAACTTGCCATCCTCCTGTGTATCACTGGGATTACAGGTATAAGCCACAAAACCTAGCTCAGGGAACAAAATGCTTTTAAGAGGAATCTTAAAAATCTAATCAGAAAATGTTTCAGACTAAAGGCACAAGTCATTTCAAATGCTACCTTGACACTAAAACAAACGTTAAGAAGTCAAATGAAAAAGATGGGGGGAAAATTCAAAGTTTTTAAAATCTAAGAGGTAAAAACTAAAAGATCAAAGTAAAAAGAAAAAAAAGTACACATGCTAAGGTGTATTCCATATACTAGAAAACCTAATGTATTGAAAACATGAATAGAGATAGCAGTAAAAAAGCAGTGAGGAGGAGGAGGGTGGAGTAGAAGAGAGTGAATAAATGATGAGTCCTTCTGTGATGTTACCAGCCAGAGTTATAGTTCACTTTGGTTGCCTCCTAAATCAGCCACCTCAATTAAAAACCAAGGGAAAGATTCTCACAACAGCCAAAACTGACAACCAGGTGCTTCTCTCATAATGGAGTAATCTCATAATGGAGAAATCACTCTGAATTTTTAGCTTAAACAGATACTAAGAAATTTCATTATGATTTTCTTTTTCAGTAGTATATGAAAAGTAGTAAATCAGAAGCAAAAAGACTTCTAGAGACTAGTATACTGTTAACATCACATTAACCAGTGATAAAGGACACACGCATTCTACCTCCAACAACAATCAGAAATTTACAARGCACAGTACAGCTGACCCTGGAACAACACTGGTTTCAACTGCTCAGGTCCACTTACTTATTTATATACAGATGAACCTCATAACTTAGAAATACTGAAAAAAAATATGAAAAATGTATAAAATATATGTAGATAAGTCTATTTTGTCATTTATACTCTATACAAATCAACTACGAAAAGTTAAAATTTATCAAAGCTTTCACACAGACTACACATGGCACCACTTGCAGTGGAGAGAAATGTAAACAAATGCAAAGACACAGTATTGAAACACACTGCATAAAATCAACTGTAGTACATAGTGTACTACTACCATGTTTTGTAGCTACCTCCTAGTGCTATCAGAGTGGGCAGGTGAGCCCATCTTGCATCACATGAACACGTGTGCTACTAATCATCTCCGCAGGAGCAGTCCACTTCTCCAGAAAACTGCATATTTTAGTGAACCATCTCTCACCATTCTGGCCTATTTCCTACCATACAAAACACATACAGCACACAAAGTGTTAATCAATCGTTTATGTTATTAGTAAGGCCTTTGGCCAACAGCGGGCTACTAGCAGTTAAGAACTGAGGMGTCAAAAGCATTTTGAGGATTTTCTACTGAGGGGGTGGTCAGCACCCTTAACCCCATGGGTCAACTACAGTCTCAAGAGAAAGGACTAAACAACCCTAAACTTTACTTATCCCTAAATACATTAAAGAATGACATCACTAACAAATGAAAGATGTTTAAATTATGATCAGTGAGTTCTGGTAAAGAGAAGAAACTGGCCACATTTTAWAGTGGTTTACACCCTGGGGGGTTGAAATTTAAAACTGGAGACAGGCTTTCAACACCCAAAATGTCCACTTACGTTGAACATCTAATTCCCAAGCCAAGATAATTACAGTACAATAAAAATTAAACAGAGCTACATTGGTAGAAAAACCATAATTATGAGCATAAAGAAAATGTATCTATGTATCTGAATAAGATAAACATGGTGCTCAGTAATCAAGTACAACTTGTGTCATCTCAATCTTTATTCTAAGTGTGATGAAAGCATTCTGAGCACACCAACACGTCCCATTTRCGGTAGCATGCATGTTCTTGTGCCCACTGAATCTTGGTCAATTTGTGTTTTTCCAAGAAGTTCAAAGCCACACCAAAAAACCTGCTGTCAAGTGCTTGCCTAACTAGCATGCTTGTGGCTATAGGTTGGACCATCAGCATAGAAAACACAAACTGCTACCACATGGGTCCTTCCATACTTTATATACTAGAGGAATTTGCACTTTTTCACTAAACAGTTAACAACAAAAAATTGTAGTGATTTTAGTATTCGATCAATAATTTATATTTGGCAAATTTCTAAGTACTCACAATGTGCCAGGGGAGCCGACTACATGTAAATGTAGCAAATTTAATCACAGAAATGTAAAGACTCTAGGATCATCTAGAATATGCTGTTAGGGGCTGGGGCTGTATTGCCTAGAATGTATGAGGCACTGGGTTTGAGCCTCAGCACCACATAAAAATAAATAAAATAGAATATGCAGCTAAATAAAATCCATCAACCTACTACTATTTTCCAACCAGCCTCTTCATCTGGTAACATCATCAATTTAAAACTCAAACAAGATTCCAACTTTCTTGTGTATGTCAATGAAATATAAATTCATCTATATATTATCTTCCTCAGAAAAACACCATTCCATATTAAGAAAATATGAAAGATTTCAGTCCCAAAGAGAAATATTTAGAGATATCATGTTTAAAAAAAAAAAAAACCTTAGAAAAGTATCTAAATAAAAAAATAATTTTTATGACCACTTTACGACATTGCAGCCAATTTTGAAATGAAGATAAACAGGACAAGAGTTGATCAAATACATGATCTAAGATCGTTCTTTAGAATATCTAAATCTGATCTTGTGGGCCATCTAACTTTCCAACTTTCAATGTCAATGCGTCACATAAAAAAAAGCAGAGAGAACAAATGTGCCTATGAGGCAATCTCGTCCAAAGCTCACACTCAACTCTGAGATGATCAAGCCTCTGTTTTTTCAATTAAAAAAAAAAAAGCAGAACCCAAAGGAATATCCCAAGGATGCAATCATCAAGGCCCAGATTATGAGACATGCTACAGGACAGTTGAATTCAGAGAGTATCTCAACACTTGGTTAAAACACACAGATTCAACTTCATCTCCCTAAAACCTGAGGCAAGCTCCTTTGTCTCTGGTGCTTGTATGGAAGCACTTGAACATGGTTCTGTAACATGTGCACCTCACATTACAGTACTGGCGTGGGGGAAAACGACACAGTAGCCTAGACCAGTGCTCTGAATTCAGATGAAATCCCAGCTTTCCCCCATAAAATTAAAAAAAAAAAAAAAAAAAAAAACAGCCACCTTCTGCTTGAAGGAATTTTTAAGGATTTCATGGGAAACTATATGAAGAACACTTAGCACAATGCTTGGCACAGTCCAGAAGCAAGTCACCTAATAATCGAATAAATACAAACCACAATCAGAAAAATTAAATAGCTGTAGTTCTTGTCTTCACTGATTTCATCTAGTCACATTCTTACAATACCTACTGAATAATAAAATGCCAAACTGGTCAACAGAAAACCAAAACAACAAYAAAGAAAAGATAACTTGCAGGAGGGAAGGCTATCAATTTCCAAATAGCTGAGCCTGACTATAAGTACTGAGAATAGTTTAACCACAGCAAATACCACCTGACCAAATGTTGTCATCAAGAAAAGGCTGGGCTTGACCAGACCCCTCAAAGGCAATCAAATTTATTTTCTAATTAGGTTAAAGTTCTCAATATAATCATCTTCAAATACATTTTAGTAACATGGAAAACAGTTTTTGAAGGATTTTTAAAATGTCAACATTATTATTCTGAACCTCTTTGGTTTTTTCACTTTAAAAAACAATTAAATCAACCAACTTCGCCACTTGAACAGTAGGTGGCGTAACTCACATACTGAGCCAGTTGCTGCAAAGAGAGGAGGTAAAATAAAATACAAAACACAGAGAATAAAAGCTCAATAAGGCATCTTCCAACACATTCATGAAAACTGTTTAAAGCTCCTAATTTGAAAAGAAAAGTTTTCAAATAATATGAAAATACTTACATCTCAATTTGTCCAGCATTTTTCCACCACACATGGTTGCTAACATAGCTTTAACTGAAAATACGGTCAACTTGCCTCGGCCCTCACTGAAAAATAAATATTAGAAATAATTGCTATCTGGAACCACAAAAGCAATCAAATGTATAACTAAATATTGAGCAACCAGGAGACTGATTCGGCAACATTTGAAAGCCTTTTTTCCTTTGTATAATTAAGACTTCATCTATACTAAGTGAAGAATAGCTGCTAAAGCTAACCTGAATAATCTGGAAATGAGTTTTAGAAACTACATAAAAAGTAACTTCTATTGGTTCTGTAGGCAGAGGCCAGATGGACGAACCTAAAATTGTTTCCTATACCCTAAACCCATTAAATCCACAGCTGAGGTGTTTTAAAGTAGTCAAAACTGAGGGACCATCTGGTTTGAAAATAACTCAGAAATGTGTCCTTATTTCAGGATAACAAGCTTATTGTTATGCCCTAAACAACAGGGTGCACACTGCTTTAAAGATTTTATAGTACATTCATCTTTGTTTTTACTGTAACAACCTTTGTCACCACAGAAATGTTTATTCTGAAAATCTTAATCCTGCCTCTCTCAGATCTTCCGATATACCACTGTGAAAAAGGGGGAGAGGATGGTAATATTAATTCTTTTTTAGGAACTGGAAAAATGAATTCCTAAAGAAATGGTGCACACCACCAGCAGAACCAAGTAGCCCTGAGGCTCCTTGTCCATGGCCACGTTCCACGCTGTCCGCTATGCCCTGGTCTCATTCAGGTAAAAACGTCACCAACTGATTGCTAAATTTGGCATACGTAAGTTAAAGATGGGTCTTTGTGTTAATTTTATAAAGCTTACGCTCATAGAGTTTCACAGTGACTTAAATAAAATATTTTTACAATAATGAGAGCTATATAACCTTGGTCTTGAAAAGCAAATATCATTCATTTATATTCACTAAAAGAAGCCCTAACACAGTGTTTCCCCTTTCCAAACCACCTTTGTATATAGAAAGATCACATCTGAGAAAAACAAATCGTCTATAAAACAGAAGATTCTCAGTGAAAACACTGCCAGGAAATACAAATTTTTGTTACATTCAGATTTTTCTTGTCGCTGAGTTTATTCATCAGATAAAAACATAACTCTTCAGAAATAAAAACACTGTTCCACATAAAGACAATACAGCATCTGGAAATGATGAAGAATACCTCATGGTACAAGAAAGGCAAAACCCAAAGGATTACTATGTTAGGAGGAGTGGAATTTTAGGAACCTAAAAGATCTATCAGTGAGTCAAAGTCAAACCAGTGGCCTAAGATCTGGCAAGATGCTAAAGACTACACGCCTGGAATGCCAGGAGTCTGAGATAACTGTAAGGGAAGAGCAGGCACCTAGGAAATGCCTTTGCAAGGAAAAGCCTTCCTTCCTACTGACTTCCAAGATGATTATCACTGATGGCTCTGATACTACAGGAAAGAAATTATGACAAATGTGAATTATGTTAATGATAGGTGAGGGGTCACCTCACACCTAGACTAAGCACAAGAGCTGGTGTGGAAACACAACAATTTTATTCTCTCTGTGGTAACTGAGCCCTTAACAAAAGACAGCATATTATCTAGACACAGTTAAAGCAGGGAAGCAAAGGGGGGAGAAAACTGTTCCCCTCCCAAATAATTTACACACTCAAGAAGTCTAAAATGATGGCTTCAAATGTGCATATTCATAGTCATTTACTGAAGTATCTTCTAAAGGCAAAAGACTGGAAATTCCCAAATGTTCATTAACAAAAGACAGACTATGCTGTCAAAAAAGAATGAGAACAGGGCTGGGGTTGTGGCTCAGAGATAGAGTGGTGCCCAGCATGTGTGAGGCACTGGGTTAGATCCTCAGCACCATATAAAGTAAAAATAAAAATAAAGACATGTGTCCACCTATAACTGAAAAATAAGTATTTTTTTAAAAAGATTGAGAATAATATATGAAAGCTAAAGAATAATATATAATACTGTTAAATTTTTTAAAAAGCAAGCAAGAATGTATACAYGTATAGAACAAAATAATAGTTAGAATATTGTCTAGCAATCATGTTTAAAAGGAAAAAGAAAAATATATCCTCACATACTATTTGTATATGTATATAACCATCTGTGAAATAGTAAGAAAGCAAGAGCCCTGGCTGCCTCCAGGGTATGAGGAGGCACTTAACAAAGAAGAATTAAATTCAGCCTCAATTCCTAATACTTTCAGAGAAGTAGGAAAAGAAATTTTCTCTATTTGGCATCTTTAAGAATAGTAATAACAGCACCTAACACCAAACTTACTTTTCAAAAACTGATTGCTTTTGCCCTAAGATCAAGTCAAGAATGACTGCTCCTTTTAAACATGACACTGGGGAACATAGCTGGTGAGCGAGGACAAAAAAAGGGAAAGGGTACAAAAGCATGCAGAYTGTCCAGAAAATATGACCAGTTATTTATAAAATCCCAGCACACCTACCAAAAGGGGGGGGAAAAAAACTATAAAACTTGGAAAAACACTATAACACATGAGTTTAGCAAGGTTGCAGAATATAAGCTCAAAGCACAAATTCAATTTTATTTGTAAACTAAAAGAAACTAAAACATACTAGCACATAAAATATAAAATACTTTGATAAAAAGCCTTTTAGGGGCTGGGACTGTAGCTCAGTGGTAAAGTGCTTGCCCTGCATATGTGAGGCACTGTGTTTGATCCTCAGCACCACATAAAAATAAAGATACTGTGTGTTTATCTACAACTAAACAAATATTTTTTAAAAGCCTTTTAAAAATATTTTCAAGATCCATATGCTGAAAACTACAAAATACTGGCAAAAGAAATCAAAGAAGACTTAAAGATATACCTAAAATATTCAAGTTCATGAAACAGAAAATTCAATATTGTTAACATGTTAGTTCTCCTTAACTCAATTAGAATCCTGTTGTTATTCAATGCAATCCTCAGAGGTGAGGAGGAGAGATACTATTTTTCCTGCCTTTTACACAGCACTTAATTTAGCACATCACTCCGACACCAGATATGTGGGGATATCTTCCCATACACCAAGCAATTCTGCAGCAGACACAAGCTCTTCCAAGTCAATTCAATTCTGCTACTCTCTACTTGGAGATAGATCAGATCTTGAAGTAAGACAGAAGAAAGAAGAAATGAGTACAAAGGAGTCATAAAGAAGAAGAACAGGAAAAAAAAAATTTTATTTCGTAAGGTCCACATACTTTTCCAGGCCCATCACATCCAAGCCAGTCTCTTTTTCAGATGTGCTACTTCCCAAATTTCTGGGAAATCTGTAATACCTGGGCACTGTTAAATCAACCCCGTCCCCTGAAAAACAGATTAAGTAAAGAGACATGATATTTCAAGAAACCTATAATTTAGGAGACTTTCCGATGCTATCTCTTGATCAAATAATGAACACCACATCAGCCTAGGAACCCCGAGACTGACCACACCACCAGGAGCTATCGTGAGATCACCAGAATGATATCATTTCTACATACCTGTCCATATCCCTGCCCCCGCCAACTTTCCTTTACAAAAATTGGGAACCCCCAAAATGCATCTCTCACTCTCAAGACAGCTCTCATTCTCCCTTGAATATGTACTCCTTGCTTTACCCCAAAAGACTTCTCTGGAGATTGCCCTCATTCTCACTTGAATGTGTATCTACTTTCCTAAATTAACCTCTGTTTCTACCTTTGATGAGCACATTGAAATTCTTTTCTGTCACGTATGCCAAGAACACTGCTGGTCCTGAGTCYAGTTCCCCTTCTCTCCTGGAAATCCTTGGACCCTTCTTCAGAGACCCCTCATCTCCCATGATATCCCACAACACTGCCCTTACTTCCAAAGCCAGCTGAAGTTGTAGGTGGTCATTTACACTTCTGACCATCCAGCTATACATCAAGGATCCCCACAACCCGTTCCTTGCATTCAATTAATTTGCTAGAGTGCTCACAAAATTCAGGGAAATATGTCTACTGTTTATTCACAAAGGACACTACCAAGCACATTGATGAAAGAGTTGCATAAGGGTGAGGTATGTGGGAAGATGTGCAGAGCTTCCATGCCCTTCCTGGACATTTGGGGTTTTTTATAAAGCTTCATTGCGTGAGCATGAATGATGAAATCACTGATTAACTTAATCTTCAGTCCCTCTCTACTCCCCAAAGCTGGGAGATGGGGCTAAAAGTTCCAACCCTCTTATCACACAGGTCAGTTCTCTTGGCAACCAACCTCCATCCTGAGGCTATTCAGGGAGCCCACCTAAAATCRCCTCATTAGAACAAAAGATGTTCCTAACACCCAGGAAATTCCAAGGGATTTAGGAGAGTTGTCAGACATTCCTATCATCAGGAATTTACCTAGGTCTCAGGAGTGCCCTGCCAGGAGGCAGGGTCAAAGATCAAGATTCCCCTATTGACACTATTTACCCAGTATTAAAAGCTCAGTCTCAAGAACCAGGGCGGAGACCAAACTTTAAAGCTGAAGCTTCTCCTACTATCCCATCTCTGAGAAATGACAAAGGTTTCAGAAGCTCTGTGCCAAGAACTGGGGACAGAAACCAATATGTATATTTCTCTAGTTTTTTTGGAAGGGGAGGGGGGGTACTTTCCAACTTGAGCTACATCTCCAGTCCTTTTTATTTTTCATTTTGAGATGGGGTCTCACTAAGTTGCCAAGGTTGACCTCAAACTTGTGATGCTCCTGACTTGACCTCCCTAGTAGATGGGACTAGAGAAATGTGTTACTGTGCCCAACTTATATTTCTTAATATTTCACAAATCTTAATAAAACTCACAAAAAGGGAGCTGGGCATGGTGGCACACGCCTGTGATCCCAGAAGCTCAGGAGGCTAAGGCAGAAGGATCAGGAGTTCAAAGCCAGCCCCAGCAACTCAATGAGGCTCTCAGTGACTCAGTGAGACTCAGTGAGCCCCTGTCTCTAAATAAAATATTAAAAGGGATGGGGGTGTGGCTTAGTGGTAAAGTGCCTCTGGGTTTAATCCTCATGTTTAAAAAAATTCCCCATGTAATTTTA